CCCCCTCCACCGCCCTCAGCTATCTCCGGACCCGCTCTGGCCGCATCCTACTCTCCCGTTCCTTCCGACTCTGGGAATCTAATCGCACCGCCTCCTTCAACACATCGTTCTCCATAAATATCTACCGTCCAAGCAACGCCACCCTTCCTGGCGAGGGCTTGGCCTTCCTCATCGCCCCCGACGCCCATGGACCCCCACCCGGCAGCTACGGCGGCTTTCTTGGCCTCACCAACTCCACCACTGACGGCCGATCGTCGAATCGGATCGTCGCCGTCGAGTTCGATACTGTGAAGCAGAGGTACGATATCGACGACAATCATGTGGGGCTCGACATTAATGGGGTGGATTCGGAGATTTCGGCGTCATTAACACCGTTTGGGATCCAGATAGCGCCGGTTGGGGCGGTGAATAATACTGTGTGGATTGATTATGATGGAATAGGAGGGGGGATTATGGTTTTTATGACTAGACAGGGTAATCCGAAGCCCGAGACTCCGGTGCTTGCGGGGAAGGTAAATCTCAGTGATTATGTGAATCAGTACTCCTATTTTGGGTTTGCTGCTTCGACCGGAGCGGTGAATTACGAACTTAACTGCGTGTTGGACTGGAATCTGACGGTGGAGAACCTGGAGGAGGAGAAGAATGACAATAAAGGAGGTAGGCATGGTTCCAATTTTCTCGCTCGTTAGGTTATTTTGTAGCTGATAATATCATATCTTCTTAATTTCGAAGAGCACAAGCGACTTAAAACCAAGAACTCTTTTCTCAACTTCAACTACCAACACAAAATAGATTAATCGATTAATAACATATAATTTGTGACATGATTAGTAGAATCTTAGAAAATTAGAATGATCGACACCTCCATTAACTGGATTTATTAATTCCAACTTCAAACTTGAAACAATTAGATTTGACATTTATTGAGTCTAGTTTCTCCAAACCCATCCAACCATAGCTCAAAAATCACTGTTTACTCCACAGAAGGAACAGGATGGAAGGTGTCGGCTGGTATAGCTGCCGGAGTATTTGTTCTCGCGGTGGCGGCTGGGATCGTGACGGCATTATGGTACTCAAAGCGGCGCAGGCAGAGGAAAAATAAGGCGACGGTGGATCCCAGCATGTTAGCCGGAGCGCTGAAGAGCTTGCCGGGGATGCCGAGGGAGTTCGAGTACAAGGAGCTGAGGAAGGCCACTAACGATTTCGATGAAAGGAGGAAGCTGGGTCAGGGTGGGTTTGGCATTGTGTACAAGGGGGTGATCGCCGGCGAGGGGACGGAGGTTGCGGTGAAAAAATTCTCAAGGGAGGATAATATGAACAGCCAGGATGACTTTCTCAAGGAGCTCACAGTTATCAACCGACTCCGTCACAAGCATCTTGTTCGCCTACTCGGTATGTTCGATCTTCTTAATTTCCTTGAATTTGTTGTTCTTTGTCTGCTTATTTCTGTCTTAATCCTTCTTCGTCATTTTCGTCTTCGTCGTGAACTTTTGAACTTTCCCTATGAACAGTAAATCTTTGAAAGGGCAAATTTTGACCACGAAGTTATAATCTTCGATGTTGATGGATGTCATTACTCTTCTTTTTAAGCATGTGTTATTTGCTTGTGAATTTCAACATATAGAAAGAATAAATAACAGGGCAACGATACCTCAGGTTGGTGCCACGAAAACGGCCTCCTCCTCCTCGTCTACGACTACATGCCAAAGGGCAGCCTTGACCAGCACCTCTACGGCGGCGCCACCTCCGACCACTTTCTCCTTCCCTGGAACCGCCGCATTCAGGTCGCCGCCGATGTAGCTTCCGCTCTTCACTACCTTCACCACGAATACGACGAGTGCGTCGTTCACCGCGACCTCAAATCCTCCAACGTCATGCTGGACTCCACCTTCCATGCCCGCCTCGGCGACTTCGGCCTCGCTCGTGTTCTCGACACCGATAAGACCTCTTACGCTGAGCTTGATGCTGCCGGAGTACCCGGAACCCTCGGCTACATTGCTCCTGAGTGCTTCCACACCGGCAAAGCCACCCGCGAGTCCGACCTCTTCGCCTTCGGAGCCCTTCTTCTAGAGCTCGTCTGCGGGCGCCGTCCACGCAGCACTGATCTCCCCAGCTTCCACTTTCTCGTCGACTGGGTATGGACTCTACATCGAGATGGAAGAATTTTGGAAGCCGTGGATGAGAAGCTGGAGGGGGATTTTTTAGCCGATGAGGCTCGCCGGATGCTGCTGCTTGGTCTGGCATGTAGCCATCCCGTACCAGGAGAGAGGCCGAAATCAGCGGCGATTATGCAGATTTTGGCAGGATTGATGCCTTCGCCGGAAGTTCCGGCATTTAGGCCGGCCTTTATGTGGCCGGCGGCTGAGCCTGGAGATGGAGGTGGCGGGTTGACGAGCATGAGCTCGTTGATGATTTCGAGCTCGTTATACGCCTCATCGAGCAGCAATTATTAGGTGCGGATAATTACATGTGGATTTTGTTATATTTTGATCGTATTAATATAAATAATACTATCAAAACACAACTAAATTTATGTCCCCCACCTAATACATTTTCCCGAGCAGGAACTGGCACGCTGACGTCTGAAATTATTGACTGATCAATGGCAGATTAAGCATTTTTTTAGGGGAATTTACATACAATGCACCTAATTTTTATGCATTTACTCATCTCATGCTCAAATTTTAATTTTTACACTTAATACATCTTTTTCTATGTATAAAAAAAGGTGAAAAATAGTATAATCTATCTTCTTAGGAAATAAAAATTAAAGTTTGTGTGGGATAAGAATTGGGTGTTAAGTATGTAAATTTTGGGTTTTTTTTTTAAGCAAAAGAGGGTTAGCATGTGGAATCTTTAAATTTAATTTAATTTTTGAAGGTTTTGTATTATTTTTATTCTTATGTTGGCGCAAAAATCCTTTTTTTATTTGTTTTTGTTTTGCCTCGTGTGGAGTCAATGTATTTTGCTGTTGTACAAGATGCTCTCTTCGCTGGCTTTGTCTAGTTCGCTTCATGTTTGGTGGCAAGTATTAGAGGCGTGCGATATAAAACAATTTAGGGGACTGTGGGTCTTCCTTCCATAGATTCTTTTGTCATTGTTGACGACACGTTCTCATACTGATGTGACGATTTGATTATTTATTATATTGTAAAATAATATTGGTTAAACTTTATTTTGCTAGCTTTCTCTTTGCATTAAGTTTATAGTTAAATGAAAATTGAATGTGTATGATTCAGGATTACTTCAAATTTATGCGATTTAAATCTTGTTGTAAGGTTTAAAAATCACGTGAAATGATTGTGACTGATACTGCCTAGCTCAATACAAGATTGCATAGTTGCATGAATCATTCACACATCATTGGCATAAAATTAAAATTTGATGTGTGTCGGAAGAATCGCAGCAGTAGTGTAATTAATTATCGTCTTACAATTTTATGAGACTCAAGACACACTCAAGTAACTAAAAATCAGGAAACAATAGGATAGACCTTGATTTTTATGTGAAAAATTCTAAACAAGGAAAAAATCACGGGTCATAGCCCAGTTAACATAAACCACTATCATTCGATGAATGGTAAGTACACAGGTTCAATATTCTACTAAATTAGGAAATATAAGGTTACAAAGATGATAATTAAAAAGGTATGTTAATAGTTTATCGGTAATGGTCCTAGTTTTATTGTAATGGCTGTATTTCTCGGCTATATGGGTTGTAGTCGATTACTATGGAGGTAGTAATCCATCGTGATATGTAAATGATAGATGTAGTGTCAACTTGTTCAATATGCAGTAGTTGAAAGCCATTGTAGCAATTTCCCATGTAGGCTGCAGATTGTTGCTTCAGAACATCGGTTGATCACACGGGCAGTAGTAGGAAGTTTCAGCAACTGTGAGTCATGTAGGTCGTAGTTGTTTCAAAAATTGAAGTGGTGAGCTGTGACGACGTCCATAGGCTATGGGGATCGGAGTCATGAGCTACATGACCTATGTACCACTTAGATTGTAGTTGGTCACATAGGTCATAGTAAAGAGCTGCAAGGACTTTCGTAGAACGCAAAAATTGGATTCAAGAGCTACAAAAGTTGTGGAAGTTGGTTATGTAGATCGTAGTGCTGAGTTGTGTTAAAGCAGTTGATCACATAAGTGTAATGGTGAGCTATGATGATATCCATAAGACGTAGAAGCCGGAGTCAAGAGCAACACAAGTTGTGTACCACATAGGTTGTAGCTTGTCATGTAGGTCATATTGGTGAGCTGTGATGATGTTCATATGTCATAAAGGGTCGGAGTTGGAAGCTCCACGAGCTACATATCACTTAAGTTGTAGTTGGTCATATAGATCGTAGTGGTGGGTTGCAATGTCATCCGTAAGTCGCAGGGGCTGAAGTCGTGACCTGCATGAGATGTGGACCAAGTATGTCGTAGTTGGTCACATAGGATGTAGTGGTGGGTTATGATGATGTTTGTAGGCCGCAGAGGGCGGAGTTATAAGCTGCACGAGCTGTAATGGTGGGTTGTGTTGTCGTTCGTAGGCTGCAGAGAACAAAGGTGAACCATGTAGGTCGTAGTTGGGCATGTAGGTTGTGGTAGTATGTTGTGATGACATTTATAGGCCACAGAGGCCAGATTCAAGAGTTGCACGAGCTATAAGCCACGTAAGTTGTGGTTGGTCACATAGTCCGTAGTAGTGGGTTGCAAAGAGAGAGTCTTAAGAGTTTAGAGAAAGTCATCATCTTTTGGGGTGCATTGTTACACCGTCTTCGGGTGTTTTCGTTACTCTGAATGCGAGATAAATTGTTACCGTCACCGAGATGCATTGTCGCACCTTATTTGAGGCACTTTGTTACACTATCTTCTGGATGTGTTGTTACATCATATTTAGGGTGTATTGTTACACCATCTTTAGGAGATGTTGTTGCACCGTATGCAGGGTGCGTTGTTACAGCTTCATTAGGGTGTGTCACTACACCATACTCGGGGTGAGTTGTTATATTATCTTTGGGAGGCGTCATTATACCGGCTTCAGGAGGCATCGTTGCACCGTATGTGGGTTGTGTTGTTACATCATCATCGAGGTGTGTCACTACATCATATTCAGGTTGTGTTGTTACACCATCTTCCGGAAGACATATTGCTCCACCAGGTGCTTCACTGTTCCATAATATACATTTGTATTTTAAAATGCATATTGTGACTCCGCAAGATACTTCGTTGTAAGGAGCAAGTGAGGATCGGAGGCGGTGATTGTTGTTTCCAGAGCTACCAAGCGACATTGTATAGAGTTAACAGATGGCGTTGGGCGAGCTGGTTGGCTTTGGAGGCAGCGATGGCCAGAGTTAGCCAAAAGCAGTGGCAGTCGAAGCTAGCTAGCAACGTTGGCCGCAGTTAGTCGGCGTCGGTGGCCATAGTTGGCTGGAGGTAACCGTAGAAGTTGGAGTTGGCATGACGCGACGATCAAAGTTTGTCGATGGAGTTGGCCAAAGTTGGCGGTGGCGGCTATCAGAGTTAATCGACAGCGTTGGCGGCGGTCGACTATTGGAGTGAGAGGATTTCGTTGGATCTATAATGTAGAAACGATGTCGAACAGCAGCTTCTCTTCCATGCTTCAGTCTTCTTCTGGCTCGTGGTCTAGGTCCCTTTCTCAAGTGGGGGTATAGCCCTATTTATAGAGGCCAAACTATAAATAAGATAAGAATTTAAAGCACTACATCAGATGACACAGAGTGATTCTCTTGATTGGACAACTTTTAATATACATTTGAGTGCCTTAATGATGTAAGAATTAAGCGATCTTGTCCCATTGGATTCATCTCATTGAGATGCTTGATTCGATTATAAGCTTGTCAGATTTGAAATCAATCTGCCCTTTCAATTATGCACGAAAAGCTCCCAAAAGTGTTTTGATGGCTTGACCCGGGCTTGATTCGACTCAGATTTGACCAATTTTTGTACCATTAGATCTATCTCGTCTAGCCCGTCATTTTGATTGTAAATTTGCTAATTAGAGTTCATGACAAATTTTAATCGAAATTTGAACACTCTTTATTCAAAAATTTTCCTGAGATTCGTGCCTACTGAGAAAAATTCATTGGCGGCATATCCAAACTAACAACACATCTAATCTTAAATTGATTATGAACCATTTAAACAATCGGTTTTGAGACAATAAATGGACTTGCGAAATGATTGTGTTGATCAGTTCGTGATTGCACAGGCTTTCGACAAATGAAATTTATCATGCCATCTAAGAGGCTCCATCCAAAAAAGATTTAGACATTTACATGCACTCCACTAAATTCCAGGGCATTTACACATCTAAAACTTCAAATTTTACTTTGTTTTATATTTATACCATTCAAATCTTTAACATCATATAAAAAATCTCACCATTTTTAATTTATAAAAAGTGCACGTAAGGTGGAATATATGCAAGAAATTAAGATTTCGATGTTAATTAAATATGTAAATACATAAAAATTGAGTGGTCTGTATATAAATCTTCCAACATCATAAATGATATTTTTTTCCCCCCTGAATAAATGATCAATTCAGATAAAAGACAGCAAAAGACCAAAGCTTTAAAAAAACAAAATAAAATTTGTTTCAATATTAAAAATCAACAAAGTGATCAAATTGGGGCACATGGGCTTATCATTTTCCTAAATACAATTAAAATTTACTACTTTTCCGAAAAGGAAAATTTACTAAATCAAGGCAATGCAGCACTCCGAGCCATTCCTCGCAATTTCCCTTTCCCTGACTTTATTTTTATCTTAATAAAGAAAAGTAAGAGCAGATCAGAAAGCGACAGATTATATAAAAGCAAAGATGATATTTGCACATTTTTTGCGAGGTTCAATCAGCCCGCTTGTTCTGCGCTGAATTTTGACGATGAAGGCGGCTCCATCCATCCGATCACGGAAGCTTCCAACCCTACTTTTCCATAAATTGCTTTACGCGATATTCTTGCAAATTAATTTTATGGAAATTTACATACAAACAACACAATTCTTTTTTATTTGCATATCCAATATCTAAATTTGTTATTTAAAAAAAATTATGCATAATTTTATTTTTAAAAGTTTGTAATAGTCGTATTTTTGATGTGATATTAAAATGACTAATTATCGTATTAGCGTTGCACGAAAATTTAGCGAAGACTAAAATAAAGATAGTAAACTAGTAGGGGCGTCGAAAGTTCTTACGTGAAAGACTTTGAAAAAGGAAAAAAAGACGAGGCATTGCCCAGTTGAAATATTTCACTGTGAATTAATGATTATAGGTAAAACAAATTATCTCATATGCGGGAAACGAGTTACACAGTTTCTTGAGTTACAGCGTCAATGCGCGGAAGAACTCGTTTCCCCTCGGTGGAGATTGGCAGCAGCAGAGAGTTACTATTGGGGCTTTAGTGTACTGCTTCAGGGTTGGCAAGTCTTTTGAGATGACAGACTACTTTGTAGGTTGCTTCAAGATTTCATGACGTGGGCTATTTCTTTGCATAGTGGTTCAATCCTAAGTAGCGGGCAACGGTTGATGCTGGTCAGCAATGGCGATGGTGGTCGATAGCGGATGACAGGCAGTGCTCGACGATGATTAGTGGCTGCAGGAGCAAAAGGACATCCGTCAAGGGCTATTGGTGAGTAGTGGTTGATAGTGGTTGGCA